GGCCCCCCTTTCCAATGTTGATCCTAACGTTACTAAACGAGATTGTGTCATGCTTATTCCGAGCAGAAAACAATCCCAATCAACATTGACAGGGGGGGAGGGGGGTTTATTATTCAAATTAAGGTTAAAAACACGAAATCACACTTTACGTTCCACATTTGGCCATGATTGTAGATATCACACACATTCATTTGTGTATAGACTGAATGTATAACATATAGATGATAAGTAGGTCGTAAGGATAAACGAAATACATGGCAAGGTCATGTTTAAAGAGCGAAATATAAAAGAATATAATTTCGACTCATTTCAGACAATCCTGGACAAAACATCTGCAACACTTCGAATTACTTGTTGTAATATTATCGTAAATTTAGAAAATCTTCCCCTTTCCCCCACCATTCAATGTTGATTGCATTCATAGAATACGGATGAAATGTCCAACATTGTTTTGGGGGGCGGAGGGGGGCAAACAAGTAAATTATTCTGGTCTAAAAGGTAAAAAAAAGCCACAAAGGAATGTTTTAATAGAGTGTCACAGATGGTTTTGTCCAGGATTGTAGGCCTAAATTAGCCGTGGGTTATTGCAAATTGACTGTTCATATGAGTTGTTCGCGACTTATTTAAGCCGCAGCTTATTTAGGCTGTGGCTTATTTAGGCCGCGGCGCGGCTTATTTTCGCTTGTATAAATGGCCCTAATGACAAGTCGTGTATGCCGAAATCGAGTGATAATTTACAGTGATAAAACATGGATTATTATGCTGAAAGGTAAGCTCAAATGCAATGCTAATTTACAATGGGCTGACGACACCCGCTTACAAATAAACTTAGTTTCGGAGTTGCAACAGCTGCTGACAGTCATACAAGGTTCCCACATTTGCAAAGTTTGCCCATATGAGCCCTTTTACAAGTGAAAATAATCAACCAACATTTCTCACAAAGAATAAAGAGGCAGGTGCTTATGTTGAGGATAAAATCTCACATTTTCATAAGAAAGGGATCTGTCAACTGGTTGTGCAGTTTTTCTTCCTGGAAATGACAGCTTTGTCTGTGCCAAAACTGTGTAAAATTGTTAACTCATACCTAGGTTGCGTTTGTGTGTTGTTTGTGTTAATTTCTTTTTTGCTTCGACTTCACCCCTTTACTGTAAGTCGCCATATTCGTGTGCACGATATACCAAGGGTTAATACAGTATTTCAAAAATAGGTTTGCGAGCTTTTCCGTAAGTGAACCAATACAAAATTATCAAGATCTAGTTGATTATGTAAAGAAAATCATTCCAGCTTTCCGATATGTCGAAGATGATCAGTTGAAAATATCGTACAAAGATATCGAGTTGGATACATTTATTAATATCGATCCTTCAGAGAAGTGTTGCAGCCTACATCTTTCGGAAGTATTTAGAAATAGTTCACCTGCTGGATCCGATTGTACATAAATGGTTATTGTTGCATGTTCGCGAAACAGATTCTCCATTTATTCTTAAAAAACGTACATCTTGTTTAGTCGACAGTTCAAACATGGCGACGTCGATGACCATACAACTACAAGCAAACAACAACACTGTCACGACATAAGAAAAAATGCGAAGCCGAAAATATCTTTCCAACAAGTACTCCATTGCTAAGAAACACAACGACAGGCAAAATTTAAATTTGAAAGATCAAACGGTCAAAATAATAAAAAGAACAATAAATCACGAACTGTACATTTACATGACACACAAAATTCACATACGAAAACAGTAACACAAATAATAGTCCAATGTTAAAGTTTCAGAGGAATAGCACCAACTATGACAAAGATATTGTTAGCGTAAACCAAAAACCCAGATTATAGCCAGCGAGACAACAAATATGATACAAGGCAACAACAAATAATCCAAAATAATTCCTTTCGATTAATTTAAACCAATTTCAAAATGCGTCGAAGGAGCGAAGCAGGTCTTTAGCTTTATTATGATAAGTAGACAATTAGTAAAGATTGACAAATGAATATTTTAAAGGACATTGGCAACGAAAATTTTTATTGGCTATTTCAATCCTACTTGACAACCGAACTATGAAAATATTATCATTTCCTTCTTGAACATTTTAGTCTACGAGTAAAATGCATGCAAACTTTGTGTTTCGGCCAGTTTCTCCACCATCTTGGAAAATATTTTTGAAAAATTATCTCGAAGGTCAATGAACTTTGTGACGTCATTGGCTGGGTAGCACCAAAACTACAAGAGAGAATTCTATTGCGTGCGTGTTATGTTAGCTAAAAATATGTCGTTTTGAGCGTTATACTGGCCAACACTCTTCGCAATCAAACAAGAGAAGTCTACACTATCAGATAAAAACATATCGAGCGACTGGGAAAGCAAGAAATGGCGCAATTTACAATGCAGGTAATTGATCATAAAATATTGCATTAGTATTTGCCTTGTTACACTCGAATTTCTGCGCTTATTTAACACGGAGTAGGATATATACTATGAGAAATAGTGTTACAAACAAGTTACATACTTGGTAAAACTTTTCTGCCTTTTGTTTTGGCTCAAAATGCACTACGCGTGGTAATACACGGTATTGTTTATAGTCATGAGATTGTGTTTACCCAGCCAATGACGTCAGATAATGTATTTTGTGGCATAAATTAGCATACGCGCTTATTTTCAAAATGGCGGACAACTGTTCAAATTTTCTCAAATTCAATCAAATTTTCTCAGCAACTAAACGCGACAAACCGGCCAAAATATGAAATTAAATATTCCGTAAGTATACCTAATAGATATAAGTAATAAAAATTTTGGTTTCCAATGTCCTTTAACCACAAAATAAAACGGAGGTCACTTTGCTCGTCACATCACGTTAAGCTACCATGTTATTATCATGAAAGAAGCCTTATTTCGTCAAGGACATTGTAATTAAAGTTGCTCAGAATCTTTAGTACTACATATTACCAAACTTTTTCAAAAACTTTACCAAAAATGGGAAACATTTAAAATTTTCAAATGGCTCTGGAGGCCGGACTTATCAATATTTTGCAACGATTTTGACACAGAAATGCTTCTTATGGCGTTCCGTTGCGGACAAAATAGCGTAATTAAAAAATTATTCCAAATTAACGTATTTTATTCCAAAAATAAAAAAGTTAGGCCAATTTTTATAAAATGCTGCCAAAAATATTTTAAATCTTCGATCGGAAATAAAATAAAACAACATTCGAAATAAAAATCTCGTCGAAAAAAAAAAATTCAAAAATAAAAATTCGATTAAAACCGGAAATTGGTTGATACAAAAAAAATCTTGTCCAGTGGAAACGGAAGTGTGGAACAGAAAAATGCAAAAAATGCTCAATGAAACCGGAAACTAAAAACCGGAAGTAATTGACGTGTGCTACAAATGGTACTGCATCAAATCAGGATCAAATCGAAAGGAAAATGGCGCGGTGGTTGCCAAATATAAACGAGTTTTTTTTTCTCTTTGGGAACTCATTGACACCTGTGATGGTCAGTTGCATTCTGCATCTCGTGATCGGTCCGAATTCTTAACAAGAAGACTTGATGAATATGCCAGAATGCTTTCAGTTATAGCATCCAGATTGAGGGAGTCATATGGCCACCTTGAATCACAGAGAAGCTGCTTGCTTAATTTATCGTATATTTTGGATCGTACGCTTTCTCTTCGATCTCACTTTGAAAGGGAATGTTTTTTACAAGACGATGTGGATGAAAACGGAATGTTAAACGTAAATATTTCAGTTGAGAATAGTGGGTTGAGTGAGCGACCAAGATTTCACGTAAGCCACAAACAGTTGCAGGCTTTACACAGCGATTGTGGTATGCGTTGGAGTGACATAGCTCGAACTCTTGGTGTATCAGAAAGGACAGTTCGCTGCAGACGACACCAGTTCGGTATGCCAGTAGAGGGAAGAGAGTTCTCTAATATATCTGATCAACAGTTAGACGATTTCATTGCTCGAATTCTTCAAGCAACCCCGGCAGTTGGTTTGAGAATGATTATGGGATCACTAAGGCATCATGGTCACACAGTACAAAGGCATCGCGTACTACATTCTATATGAAGGGTCGATCCCGTTACGTCCACCCTTAGAAATTCTAGAAGAATTATCCGAAGATCATACAATGTTGCCTGTCCAAATGCATTGTGGTATGTTTAATTACATTTTCTAAATATTAATATTGAATTATTTTTTGGGAGTGACACCTGTTTTCTGGAGTTGTGATCCTTAATAATATCCAGTTTATAAACCTTAATAGGGTGGCGGGACACACCCTTTAAAAGACCCTTTATGTTTTGGGTTAATGCTTTGTTACATTTTGTGTAAAAGTCACTTGTTTTAATAATCTATTAGGCACATCGATGGAAACCACAAGTTGATTCAACCTTATCGATTGGTTATTCATGGTGCAATTGATGGATTTTCACGATTAATTGTTTATGTGAAAGTTTCAACCAACAACAAAGCAATGACTGTGTTTACCTACTTCCAAGAAGCAGTTACTAGGTATAATTTACCATCAAGGGTTAGGTCTGATCTGGGTTTGGAGAACTTGAAAGTCGGTAGGTTCATGCTAGCAATGCAGGGTTTAAATCGTGGCAGCATTATCACAGGAACGTCAGTTCACAATCAGAGGATAGAGAGGCTGTGGCGAGACGTGAACAGGGTTGTTGTTTCAAGATTTTTAAATATATTCCTGTATCTAGAAAGACAAAATGAACTAGATTGTAACAAGCAGTTATGGGTTCGAGGCATGATTAGAATGCAGAATACACACCATACAGCAGTCCAAATGGTTTTGCATGGTCCAACTGATATTGCTAATTATGGTATAGATGAAGATGCGCCAGTTCCTTTTCCTGATGCAGAAGAGTATATGATAGCCGTACCTCTATCTCCTGTGCATCTAAATGCTGATCAATTGCACATTGTGTTAAGTACCATAGATACTTTGAGGAATTTAGATGACAATGGAATTGAAGCATTTGCAGCTGCAAAAAGTGTTGTTTCAGGCTTCTTGCAACCTAGATCTAACACAGTATGATGACCTGTCTCTCTTTAACCAGACTGCTAACAATTTTTAGTTGCCACTGCATTTTTTCTGTTTTTAAATGTAACGATTATTAAATTATATATAGTCTCCCTTGCAGCCGTTTTTTGTGTCAAGGTTTCTCCTCATGAGCGGCTGCTCACTCGAGCACAACATTCCATTAGAAGCGATTGCTGTGATTGGTTGGTTTCAGGAAAGCAGCCACTCGTGAGGAGAAACCTCGACACAAAGAGCGACTGCAAGGGAGACTATTATATAATGATCTACAGTACCTGTACTTCATTTTTTTGCAAAAATAATGTAAGTTTGGCCAAATTCAGAACAGTGACTAGTGTTGGCATGTACAAAGTACAAATGTGTGCTTACAGTATACCAAGTTTCAAGACTTATGGTAATTGCTAATAATGTAGCACAATTAATGGAAGTCTGAATAAGATTCCATTAAAATTACCTTTCCATGGTAGTGCACTACACTGTTAAATTAAAACATGTCGTTTGCCAAGAAGACGCATAAATTATATTCTTGTGGCAAATATATCTACCATCATTCCTACTTAGGGCACAAGAGCTCGCATTAACTATACCAGTGTGGCAGTTAATTATGTTATACAGCTAATTCAATTCAGGTTGTCCTTCCAAAAAATTAAACTTTAAACTCTG